GCAGCATCTAAAAGTTTGAAACCACACAATCGGTGTCAAGAGGCAGCTTATCCCCTCAGCAACATGGCCCCCTCTACACAAAGTCAGAAATGGAACCAGACACAGAGGGCCCACCCTCAGCAAAAGCTGTTTTGGGGGAGGCTGGTGTGGCGTCCAGAGCCTCATTCCTGCACACATGTGCTCTAACAACACACTGCACCTTCAAAACTGACAAGTACTTTTTAAAGTCCAGTTTCCAACCTTTCTTCTGGACATTGTTTTCATAAGGACTTTATTCATTTTATTTATTATCGTGTGTGGGTATGAGAGCGTGCACAAGTTAAGGCGCCCATCTTTGGAGGTCAGAGGTCTATGCAGTCAGTTCTCTCCTTCCACCTTTTTATGGGTCACCTAGGATCAAACGCTGGTAGCCAGGCTTGCATAGCCATCACCCTTCCATTCGGAGCCACCTCACCAGCCCTGGGCAGTGTTTCTAAACAACTACCCATATTTCATCAGGGAAATAGAGCTGGCACATAGAAATAGAATCTCAATGGAAAACTGGAAAGTCAATGTAGAATTAGAATTACTAATTTCTTTGCTAACTTTGAACTAAGTGTTTTGTGCCTTAGGCCTTGCGTTAGAATCATCTGGAGAGGTTTTGAAATGCCTAAGGCTCTGGCCCCATCCCAGACCAACAGGATCGGAACCTCTACGGGGAAAGAGAGACCCAGGCTCCCAGCACAGATGAGTGTTCCCCAGGTGGCCCCAACTGCAACCCAGTTAGGAACCAGCTGCTCTCTGGTTTTTTAATATTAAATGTTCTTCATTAGAGCAAGATAAACTAACAATCCTGGGAGTACAATGCTCTGAAATGTCACCCGACTGAATACAAAAATGTAATTATAACAATTTGTCTTGTTCAGTCAAATGCATCAGATCTGGCTCACCCTGGTCTTGGCTATTTCTGAAGGCAGGCCTCTTAAATTCACATATTTTCCCTCCACGCACTTATGGCAAACATGAAAAACAAACTAACCGAGGAAAAGAAATATCACCCTGACTCCTCCACCCTCCTTGGTTGCTCTTTCCAAAATAATAAAAATAAATAAAGACTAACTTCTAACTTCTCTTAAATGTTTCAAAACAAAATAATTAAAATGCCTGGGTAAACAACCATGAAACTTAATGAGCTATTTCCTCTATTTTTTTTAAGTCACAGACTCAGGGTCTATCATGGAAATAGCTGCACAATTTTGATTCTGCCAAATCACTGTGGAATGGCACCAGGGACTGTGCCCTGTGAGGTTCTGCCCACACCCCTTTGGCCACGTGAGTCGCAGCCGCCTGAGTTTCTGCCTGGCAACTAATTATACAAGACCATGACAGTTTCCCAGCCTGACTGGAGGAGGCTATCCCACCCTGGCGAAGGACACACAAAGAACAATCGCCCAAAAGACAGTTTTAATTGCCTGCATCTTTCTCCCAAGGAAAATATCAAGGGTAGTTAAGTAGACTTCTAAGAAAAGCACATCTCTCACAGAAGGGATCGAATCCTTCAAGAAGCCTAGCAAAAGAAATAGTCAGAACTTCCCAACCTACCAATCAAGCAATTTTGTCTCTTTCTTTTCAGAAGACACACGTGTAGTGAGAGTAATTAAACCATTAGTCCCTGGCTGCCTGATGAAAATGCTAAGGCATTCTGCCCAGGCAAGGGCTGTCCCACTGATGGGAGAGTGCTCAGCACACTCCAGCAAAGGTAAGCTCAACACCATGCCCTTGGTGTAGGACTCCACCTATGTAAATATCCATAAAAGAGAAGATTATTAGTGATAGCTGAGGGTGGCCGTGAAGAAAGGACCTGCCTACCAATCACCAGGAAGCATCATTTTGGAGGTGATGTAACTACCTAAAATTGGACTACGATGAAGATCATACACTTACTAGAAGTCACCAAATCCTGTTCTTTAAATGGATGGATTCTATGACGAAAATTACAACTAAATAAAACTAGTTTTAAAACAGGTATTTTAGCTAGGTGCATCTGAGGCAGGAGAATTGTGAATTCAAGATCATCGTGACTGCAATAAAACCATGTCTCAAAAAAAAAAAAAAAAGTGCTAGAGTAAGAGCTGTCCATATAGATCTGGAGTTCCTCAGCTACCTTGCAGGTCATGGTCTGTCACTAACACTCTCCATGAGTTCCGTTCTTTCTCCATGTCCACCAGGAAAAGTTGAAAAGTGAGAGAGAGAGAGAGAGAGAGAGAGAGAGAGAGAGAGAGAGAACGAAACAAATGTAAAGTTCTGTGTAATCACCAGGTCAAAGAATGGAAATCTTTCCTGATCTAGAAAAAAGAGGAAGAAAATAGAAACTGTAAACTGTAAATATTGTCTGTAGGTTAGGGGTTCTCTAACAACAAACGAAAACAGTTTTATAGTTTTAGGGCTGAGCCCTTAAAGAATAACGGGTCGTGGGACAAGTTTCCCATCACAACATTCATCAGATGCCGGTTGGTTTTACTTCAAAAGTAGGCACTGTTCCCACGGGGAGCGAAGTTGGGAAGTTTTGTTCTCAGGACCGGGTGTTGGGCTGAGTGCGGAGGGACTCCCTCTGGACAGTCACCCACCACCAACCTCGTCCAGTACTCTGCTCGACCTGCGTGTCCCTAGGAGCGTCCCCAGGCATGCTCCGATGCCCCCACCCCCCAAGATCCCGGGACACCACCAGCGACCTTCACACTTCCCCGGGGGACCCCCACACCGCAGGGAGAGGCG